TCATGCAAAGAATAAAATGAAGATGAGAAGGGATGAGAAGGGATCTCTAGATGTGTCTGTGGGAGCATTTGTTCTAATAAAAATGTGAATTATCACACTGATAAACATGGTGGGCTGCGGTGGGACACAAAGAATGGTGGGGTTTAAAGGAAAGATGGAAAGTAAAAGTCAAGACAAAGCTATGATTGATTGATTTGGCTGTACGTTTGATTTCTGATAGTTGCAACCATGTATTTTGATATTTATTTCTTAAATTACTTCAAATTGTATTAACCTGTTATGACTTTCTTTTATTCAGACAACCTTATATCTCAACTGGAACGGAGTGCCTTCTTTGATGATATTGTCAGAAAAGACATATTCTTCTTGACTGTCCATGATGCTGTGCTCTACATAAGGAATCAAATGACATACAGTGACAACCAGGATCCCATATTTGAGAAGGTAGTCTACTATCCAGTAGTACATTTCCCTTCCTTCTATCATCTACCATTGATTCCATTACAGCATGGCGTGTTCAAAAACTAGACGTAGACCTGTAGTACAAATAAAGTGAGAGTCTAGTAAATTGGACAGCTTCTGTAGTACATGAATATTTTGCTAGATCAAAGGAAGGGTCTGTTGACCCCAGGATCTTGTTAGTGAAAAGAACACGAGAAACAGGACATATGGAGAACACTTCATTCTAAGACTCATTTTCTAGTTTCTGACAACTGGCAGCTTAAGAACTTCCTCAGCTGGAGGTTGCATTTGGACCATTATATTTAATCATCATAGATGGAGTTTTCTTCGATGTGTCTGTCATACTCCTTTTGGAACCCCTTTACATATTTTAGCTTGACACTATCCTGTGGAGATGGGTTCTGTAATTTTAAATGTGTTATATGACACATATTTCCCATTTGTTTTAAGCCTGTTGGATTTCTGGATTGCTAGTTGCAATGAATAATCATTCCCTGCTCCCTTTCCCAACACCATTAATAATTTCATATACCTCTGATCAAAGCTGAAGAGTCCCATTCTACTTGGTGTGAGTGTGCATG